ATATATATATATGTCGAATTTGGTGAATGAAATCATGACTATATCCAATGAGTCCATAACAGAAACTCCACTTTGGATAGATTTATCTCAAGATCCACACATCTTCATGTTCATTGCCTATAACATGCTAAATGTGTTATTAGGTGCAACAAATTTTATTCTAAACAAGATTCCCATTTCCAAACAAAAAATGAAAGATATATAACGAGCACACTCCCTCCCATGGAAGAACTTGCTTACTTGTCCATGGATTGCCCATCTGGAGGAAGAGTCCTTGTTTCCTGCTGTTTAGCAAGGTAACCCAGCCATCCTGCAGACAAACAGAACAGAAGCAAGCATGAGAGAGAGAGAGAGAGAGAGAGGGAGAGAGAGGGAAAGGTACCCTGAGAAGGGTCAAGTCCTCTGTTGTGGAGCTCTCTGAACTCCTGGCATAGAGAGCAGCAAGGGCAGAAGAGATGGAGAGTGCGATCATGAGCTGGGGAAGAGATCAAGTTGTACTTCTTTCTCAGCTGTTGCCGGTAGTAGGCACCGAGAATCCAACAGGTGCAGAGAGCAGGAACCAGCAGGATGTACATGAAGCTCCCCAGGGTGCAGCCTCAACAATCATTCACATCATCAGCATCACATTACGTCTATCTCATACAACAAAACTCACGATATGCACACACAGAGAGAGAGAGAGAGAGAGAGAGGAGTAAGTAATTCCTTACTGGTTTGACCTTCATCCAAGATCTCTGCAATTTGTCCAAAAGTTACACATGGGCAGAAGGCAGTCAACACAGCTGCAATTGAGAAGAGAGAAATCTGTCAACAACCACGAAATGATATCCAACGCATGAAAACATGTGAAGAGACGACAGGGGAGCCACGAGAGAAGAAGAGAAGAAAACCATTGGTTTGGTTGTCTCCACAGTCGAAGAGTGCCGTCGTCCACGGCCTGCCAATGAGTTTTTGCTCTTCCTGGCTCGGAGGTTCGTCAGGTGCATGAGACCCCGGCGTAGAGGAAGGCACCAGTTCACGACCGATGACCGGCGGAATAGTAACAGCCGGGGAGGTGTCCGATTGCGTGCCGTCGCTGCTGACCTCCACCATTGCAAGTACGTGGCAACAACACCGTCCCAACCCGAGACCAGATTTATACACGTAGTAGTCGTTCTTGTAATCTACAATCACCAAAAGCTGTAAGCATCGATACCTCAGAACGCCGGCCTTGTTCTTCTCGTGGACATCGATCGCTATCTCTTCCTATTCACAACCTTGGGTTCTTTTCTATGGTTTCATACTAATTTATTCCTCGATCTCATCAACAGAAGCATAGATATTGAATCTGGATGCGGAAACTGTCATGTTATGCGAGTTGGAAAGCGAGACTTCACAAACTATTGGATAAATCAAGTTCCAAATGTTAGCCATGCCAAGGGCAACCTTCTGACTCATATCTCGGTACTTATGTCTAGTGGTCTTACTCTTCTTCCCCATTGCAGCATCCCTGTTTTCCATCCTTCTCTCCCTCTCCCTCTCACGTCTCCGCTCTTCACGAATCTTATCACGCTGCAGCCGCTCTTGTCGTTCTTCCCTTGTTTCCTTCCGCTGTTCCTGTGGTTCTCCTATTTCAGCATCATCAATCATGCTCTTGTCAGAAGGAGGAGGCGAAGCAGGGGCCGGCGCAGTGCCGGTTCTCTGAGAACGTGCCTTTCGAGCCAATGCACGTAGTTCCTGCTCCTTTCTTTCCTTCTCTTTTTTCATTTGCTCCTTCAGCACCTTTGTTCTCATCTCAATGGCATCTATTGCCTTCTGTCCAGCCACGCTCATAGCCTTAGCAAACTTAGCATAGTTGTCATTTATTTGCACATCTTTAAGAACCGTGCCATCTTCAGCCAGACGCTCGTCTAAAGGAATTTGTGTAACCTTTTGGATTCATCCAATTGGAGATGCAAGGAGGGATCTTCCAGTCCTGTTGGTCTCTTCACTGAGACAGGGCGTGGTGGGGAGTGCATCACAGGCAGAGGTGGTGAGCCTGACGCCTTTGGAACTCTCCTGTGCTTGAACTTTGGGGGGGTTGAGTGGATCTACAGGCATCTCCACCATCC